TCCAGCCTTCCGGCCCCACCCCGGGGGGCCGGGGACGTCGCACCTAACCCCACCCCGCCCGCGCCCGCAGAACACACAGCAATCATGGCTGACGAGCAGCTGACCGAGGAGCAGATCGCCGAGTTCAAGGAGGCATTCTCGCTGTTTGACAAGGACGGCGATGGCACCATCACCACCAAGGAGCTGGGCACAGTGATGCGCTCGCTGGGCCAGAACCCGACCGAGGCGGAGCTGCAGGACATGATCAACGAGGTGGACGCCGATGGCAACGGCACCATTGACTTCCCCGAGTTTTGCACGCTCATGGCGCGCAAGATGAAGGACACCGACTCGGAGGAGGAGCTCAAGGAGGCGTTCCGCGTGTTCGATAAGGACGGCAACGGCTTCATCTCCGCTGCCGAGCTGCGCCACATCATGACCAACCTCGGCGAGAAGCTGACCGACGAGGAGGTGGACGAGATGTTGCGCGAGGCCGACATTGACGGCGACGGCCAGATCAACTACGAGGAGTTTGTCAAGGTCATGATGGCCAAGTAGAGTCGCCGGGGCAGCCGCGGGGCAGAGTCGAATATTCAGTCAGGGAGGCGGGGGGCGTGCGCGATCTCTGAGTAGTTAGGACTTCGGGCAGCGCCCGGTGTACACGCGTTGCATGTGTAAGGGCGAGCTGTGTAGTTCGACCTTGAGCCTTGAATACGATTAGACAACAATGGAGTGCTCCGTACAGAACTAAAGGTGCCGTGCGAGGAGCGGCGACGTGCGTCGCGACATCGGAGGCGCTGTGGCGCGGATCGGCGCCGCGGGTGCCGTGCCCGTACCGTCTTCGTACTTGATCCAGAATGCGGCGAGGTCGGGCCGCACGGCGTCCACCGAGCCCCGGAAGGTCGAAACCGCGGCGTCCGTCATTGGGATCGAGACTTCCAGCCACTCTCCCTGCACCGGGAGCGGCGGCGACGAGCGCCGGTCCGCGAACGCCATTGGTGGCGATAACGTCGAGCAGGCCAGTTTCCGGCGGGCCGAAGTTTCATTTTTAAAGAAAGAAAAAAGGGAAGCCTAGGGAAGATGGGAGGACGGCACGCCATTAAATAAATAAATTCTGCAAAGGGGTGTGAACGCAGAGAGCAAACTCCTGGCAGCTCCCACAGTCGAAATGTGCGCCAGCTGCCCGCTCACCTGTCCGCCGCCGCCGCGCACGCACCTTGCTATGTGCTCGCGCGAGCTCCCGCCCGAGCCTCCAGCTCGGCGTCCCACTGCTGCGGAGCCGATCGCTTTTCCTCGGCGCTCGCGTCGAGCCGAGCTCTCGGCACTCTACGGCGGGCGTCGCTGTGCGGGGCGCCCGTTTCCTGCTGGCCCGAGCGGAAAGCTCCACGTGCCCGCGCGAGCTCCGGGCCGAGCCTCCAGCTCGGCGTCCCACTGCTGAGGAGCCGATCGTCGTCCGTCGGTGCTCTCGAGGAGCCGAGCTCCTTGGCCTGCGGCCGGCGACGCTGCAGGACGGCGCGGGGGCACCCCCCCCCCCCTCACCCGCGCGTTTTTCCGCGGGGGGGGCACACGCACCCCTCGCCCCGGCGCTTTTCCGGGGGGCAGCCCCCCCCCCCCCCTCCCTCGATCTCGCGGCGAGAGCACGAGCGCGCCGTCCCCCGGCGACGCGCCGCCACGCTCTTCCTTAGGTCGTCCTCCGAGATATCGGTGCCGGACCGGCGGGGCGGGGGCGGGGTGGCGTCGGAGCAAGTGTCTCGGTCTTCGGTCGACGGAGCGGCGACCCGCGAGTACGCTTCGTGGGCGCCCGACGAGGGTGGTGCTGCTGTCGCTCTGCCGCGTGCGCAGGCGTGCGCAGGCGTGCCGAGGTCTCGCGACGGCACTCAGCCCTTCGCTGGGCGTGTGGGACGCCGGGTACGACGAGCACGGCTTCTGGTCCGTCGAGGCTGCCCGCGCGGCGCGCGACGCGGCGGCGGCGCTTGCGCTGGACGCCGCCGACGGCGGCGCGGGGGCGGCGCGGGGGCGGCAGGCGCGGGGGCGGCAGGCGCGGGGGCGGCAGGCGCGGCGCGCCGAGGTCGCGAGCGCGGCACAGGCCGCGCCGCGGCGGAGCGAGGGAGCCGCGGCGCGGCGATCGCCGGCGCCGGCGCGGCCGGCGCCGGCGCAAGGGGCGCCGGCGCGAGGGCGCAAGAGGCAGCCGGCCCAGCGGGTCGCGGCCCTCCCCCGCGGCGTCGTTGGAGGGCGAGCACCTCGAGTACCTACGGCGGCGGGGTGCGCCGTGGGGCGAGCCGCCCGTCGCGGGCGCCGCCGCGCCGCCGGAAGGGGCGAGGCGGCGAGCGAGGATCGTCGACTTTTGGCCGGGGGGCGCTCTCGACACTTACCGGCTGAGGTCACGTCGTCGGGCGCGTCGACGGGCTGGTTGGCCATGGTCCGCACGGCGGGGCGGCTGCGCCGCCAGGACTCGCGCGTCGCTGCACGCGGCCTGCAGAAGGAATGACAGCTCGGCGGCAAGGCTTTTCTTGCGCCGGGACGGCTAGGCTTTTTGTGAGACGCCGCTCGCGGAAATCGAGGAAGGCTTGGACTTTTCTTTTCTTGGGAAACGGGAGTGTTGGTTTAGAAGAGGCTGGCCAGCGACTGGACACACCGGCATGGGGGGACGCAAGCAAGGACGGGGATTGGAGGTTGTAGAGAGATTTAACTTTTAAGCACAGCTCGAGGCGAAATAAAATTAGAAAGAAATGTACTCCCACCCTCTCTCTCTCTCTCTCTCTCTCTCTCTCTCTCTCTCTCTCTCTCTCTCTCTCTCTCTCTCTCTCTCTCTCTCTCTCTCTCTAAACCGTCTCACTCAAAATCTCTCTCTTTCTATCTCGGCTCTCTCTCTCTCTCTCTCTCTCTCTCTCTCTCTCTCTCTCTCTCTCTCATGTCTCAAAATCTCTCTCTCAGAAGCGGAGCACACACGAAGATCGAAGTCGGCACAACAAAAATCCCCTTTGCAGCCAAGCCTCCAGGGCACCTAATATAAAAAGGCACCTCGGTCTCGACCACGACCAGGAGAAGGACCGAGCCTCTTGTGTATATGGGCCCCCGCCTGGCCGTCAGCCCGCAGCAGCTTCGCGTGCTCGTGCCGCCGCTAGTCGCCACGAGCTACAAGGGCTCGTCCGGCAAGGTCGGCGTGGTCGGAGGCTGCTTCGAGTACACCGGAGCGCCGTTTTACGCTGCTCTGACGGCGCTCAAGCT